GGGTGGGTGGCAGTGACACTGGGAGTGGGGCTACGGGAGGGGCTGCAGCCACACAAAAATTCACTGTAGCCCTCCCCACCCCCCTCTCAGTGCAGCCTGGCCCAACACCCCTGCTGGGAACAGCCTGGCACTGCCCTGGCCCCAGTTGCAGTCTGCAGTGGCCCACAGTCTGCCTTTCCCCATGTGTTGATCCAGGGGCACCCCCCCCCCGTGGCCACCTGGGGGTGAGCATAGCAGTGGTGCTGGGAGGAGGGGGACCAAACATGGAGGGGGCTTGCGCACAACAGCTACTGTCACCGCCCTACTTGGCTGTGTGCCGTGCCTCTTTTCCATGGCTGGTTGTGGCTTTGCGGGCTGCTGATGGGCCTTGCACCTGGCTAATCGCGTGCCACTGGGGGTGGTTACAAAACACATTTTCCCTCCCCCCCCACCATTCAGACCCTCACAGCTCTGCTGTGGGGGTAGTGGCCAGTCTGGAGAGTGGGCTGGGGTGGAGGGTGGGGAGGCACCGCAGTGTGCCTCCTCCCCAGGTAAGAGGTGGATGCGCCAGGAGAGATGCACCACCTCTGCACCATGGGATGTTCTCCATCCCTGCTTGCCCGTGTGTCCCTCTACAACCTTTCAAAGTACCCCCGGTTGACAACCCCTGCTGTAATATTTTAGATTAGAAGAATCATAGGGGAAAGTTTAAATCTAGTTCTAAAACTGTTTTCTGTTTGGAATTACAAGTAGATTAATTAAAATGAGAACATTTAACCTGTTTATAAGTTCTCTAAACCCTTTTTTTTTGCCAAAATCTAAGTTCTAGGACTAAGTCAGCCTAATATCAGCAAGTAGTATTAGTTTTATCTATGAGGACCCCCGCGATGAGACTCTATATGGGCTGAGGCACTTCCTCCAAACCACTTCCTCCACCATTGCGGACCATTGTAACGGGTTTGTGTGTATCTATCTCCTTTCTCTCTCAGCGTCGTGAACCCCCTCCTTCACCTTCCCCCTTCCTCCTACCCCCACCCCCAGGCCTAGTTGGCTAACATTGTATCTCCTGTAACCTAGTTGCGTTCCCCTCCTCACCCCATCCCTCTACTGTTAGTCCCTCGCTTGGGCGATCTGTATATCCCTATCAGCTTTGTCATCTTTTTTTTCTGGATTCCCAATCCTAAACATTTACTAATAAAAGTCAATCTGTTCTTAGTTTTATCTATGGACTGTACTTATGCTTGGTTTTCCTCTTAAAAATAAGGCAATATTTCTATTACAACATTGTATCTGTTTAGCTACAATGATTTAACCAGACCAGATTTTTAAATATGACACAGATCCCTAATGTTGACACACTTGAATCAGTTTAAACTTTGCTTATATCAATTTAGCTTGGGTCAGAAGTTTAAACAGATTTAAATATCAACTCTGGGGATTTGTACTGATTTAATTAGCTAGTTTTTAAAGATTGATTTTAGGTAAACCAGTGAAACATTTTTATATAGATAAGACTTGTGCCAAACCTTTTTACAGTAAGTTATGTTACAGGCTATTGCAAAGAATAATCTCTTCCAGCCTCTCAGTACTGTTTGCCCGGACACAACACTAAATTTTCAAGGTTCTCTTTTACCTAGGGGTAAAAGTCTAGAAATTAAGTCTAGAAAGACTGACTTATCTGGATTGCAGATTACCTTGATAAAAGCAGATATTTTTAGTGTGCATTAATTTCTGTGTCAGATGTAAAGTAGAAAACCTTTCCTAAATTCTAAGGAACGTTTTTGCCAGTCCCAGTTTGCCTTCTTACATCCAGAGCAGATTATACTGGTGGTTGTGTGTTTACCAGATTAACACAAATAGAAAATCTTGTTATTTTCTACATCGGTAAGGTGATAAACTGAATGACCTTTTTCATTACTGTGGTTCTTTCTACTGGGTAAAGGAGATACGAGTGACTAAATTGGAATTAGGGATTCTAAATTACAAGATTTTTGAAGCAATACGTAGAAGCTGAATTACAATACTATAAAGAAGAGATTGAAATTGCAATATGTATGTCATAACTCAGATCACAGGATTGTCGGAAAGTAGAGCTGGAAGCATGAATGCTGTGTGCCCCAGGAGGCTGTGGGGGCACTGTGAGCTCCTGCAGGTGGTGGTGTTGCTGTCAGGGGGGGAGGGGACAGGGGCAGTGAGCGCCGACTGGTGGTCAGCGACTACCCGCAGATGCTGCCAGCAGCATTGGTGGCGGCCAGCAGTGGTTGGGGACAGCCCACAGATGCTGTTGGCAGGGGGAGGGGGGGCAGGTGGCGAGCCGCAACTGCCCGCTGGCACCGCTGGCAGTGTTGGTGGCACTTTTTGCAGGGAGTGCACCGCCAATCTCAGGCGGTGTGCATGCACTCCCTACGCATCACCAATGGCTGGAAGAGGCCTCATGAGGTCATGCAGTCCAGCCCCCTGTTCAAGGTAGGATTGTCCCTGCCTAAACCATCCCAGCCAAGTGTCTGTCCAACCTGCTCTTGAAAACTTCCAGGGATGGAGATTCCACAACTTCTCTAGGTAGCCTGTTCCAGTGCTTGACTACCCTTGCAGTCAGACAGTTCTTCCTGATCTCCAACCAAATTTCTTCTGCTGCATCTTGAGGCCACTGCTCCCATTTCTGTCACCTTCAGCAGAGAGAAAAGCCCATCTCCACGCTTTCTCTAATTGCATTTCAGGTATTTGATGACTGTTATCAAAACTCCCCTCAGGCCTCTCTTCTCCAGACTAAATAATTCTTGCTCTTTCAGTCTTTCCTCATAAGTCACACTTCTCAGGCTCCTAATCATTTTTGTTGCTCTGCACTGGAATTCTTCCAATCTGTCCACAGACTTCGTGAAGTGTACAGTATTCCAGGTGAGACCTCACCAGTGCAGAATACAGTGGAAGACACACTTCCCTTGGTTTGCAAGCAACTCTCCCATTAATACAACTCAATATTCTGTTGGCTTTTTTTTTTCTTTTTCGTAACAAGGGCACACTGTTGGCTCGTATTCAGCTTATAGTCCATCATAACCCTTGAGTTCTTCTTTACAGTACTGCAGCCTAGCGAATAGTTCCCCATTTTGTATTTGTGCTTACAGTTATTCCAATCCAAGTGTACGACTTTGCACTTGCCCTTGTTGAATTTCATTTGGTTGATTTTCAGACCATTTCTCCAGGTCATTCTGGATCTTAGCCCTGCCCTTTTAACCAATTGGAGGTGGAAGGAGGATGGGGTGGCCACCATCTTGGCTGTTTCCCTGTGTGCTTCTCTACCCTGGCAGGTTGCTTCAGTGCCTGTGAGAACCACTGGTTCCCACTGGGCAGTCAACATTTTATTTTCAGTAAGTAAGTTTTTTTTTTTTCCCGGCGATTCTAAAGATTCTCTGTAAAAACACAAATTCCACAATTTTCTCCTCTTTTCCATGACAAATAGATTTCTAGGATCCCTGTTAATTAGTTGTTGAGCACGATGTTAGGTATCTACCTTACAGTACTTTCTCATAGTCTGTATGTCCTTACCTTCTTAATGAAAATGCCTTGGGAGACAGTATACCTTCCTAAAGATAGGGTGCATTGCATCCAAAATAAAAGACTAGCCTTGAATCTCATCTGATTGATTGCAGACCACTTTTCCAATCTATCCAGGTAATTCTGGATACTAGCCCTGCCCTCCACAGTGTCTGTTTAGTTGAAGGTTATTTCAAGAAAAATGAAGTGAGAAGTTAAGAGTAAGCTTTTGAAACAGTCTACATGAAAGTCTTGGGAGTTACACTTACATATTTAACTTTTCCTGACATATTTATATACCTTCATGTTAGTGTTTTAGTAAAACACAAATGCAATTTTTTAAGTACCTGATTTTTTTCTTTTTAAAATAAAAATCTACTTGTATATTTTTAAAGTTACAAGGAAAATGGAAGAGAAACTATTAAATTAGATTCTGTACCTCATTCATTTTTAGCACAAGTAGAACAGTTTTGTATGTCTATAGCAATTTTTTACATAAACTACTGATATGAAAACAGACTGTTTTTAATTTTTCTCTGTTCTGAAGGCTCAGTTCAAAACTCAAAGCTCAATATGCTGCTGAATTATAGGGACCTTTTCTTAGTGATATAGTCTTGCAATAATAATCTTAATTACATAAGATGGCAATTGAACATTGTGTAGGGGACCATCTGCCTCAGAACTAGCTTTTGTTGCTTGATTATTATGATGGGACTTACTTGATTTGATATTTTTAGGCATACAATGCTTTTAACTATAAGTAAAATTAGAATTTAGGATTTTTCTTATGTAGAATTGCATTGACACATATTTTGTATATATAATACATGTTTGAATTTTTTGGGCCACGATTTAAAAGAAAAAAGAACTCTAGGCTGTGTTAGTAAAATATGCATGTGAATGCGAGAAACTGAGTGAGAGCAAAAGATTTATGCAAAATTGCTATGCAAGAATCATTTTACATATTATAATTTGCTGGGTTTTGTAAATGTGAGTTCAGTGCTGCACCAAACATGTGTAAATGAGTGTTTTGAGGGCGCCTGTTCATTCATGCTTGTGTGAAAATCAAAGAGCATGTGTGGGGCCTGTTTTATTTTATTGCATTGATCAGGATAACTTGGTTGGATCCTAAGAACTGGAAAAAAGATGTGATTTATCCTGCCAAAGTCAGAATAATTGTGAAAACTAAATGAATTAACTTGTAGACATACTTAAAAAAAAAAGTTGGTACTTTTAAAACATGCCTGTGTTTGGCAAATCATCCTGGGCATGAGGAAAAGAGAAAATATACAGAAGGGGGAAGGGAGGAGAGCCATGTTACAGCTGTTTTATCACGCATCCAATCTACAGTATTGCCAGTTTCTTTGTTGCACTTAAAAAGAAATCAGTGTACTGCCTGCATGTTCTGAAGTAATTGGTTTCAGATGCTGCTGTATTTTAAGCCTAAAAAATTATACAACATTTTAATGACATTTTCTTGATTTTCTTAGATGGTCTGGGTCACCTCATGCCTGCAGGCTCTCTTCATAAAAAGAAGCTGGCAAAGAGACCAGGATACATGAGACCAGAAGCTCAGCAACAGATAGAGTTTCAGCCTCCGGCTGACTGCAAGCCGTTCAACCCAAAGGGGCTTAAACATGGCAGTAAGCCTTGTGCGGACTTCAAGAATTGCTCTCTGCACAGACAAGGCAAAAATGACTTTGAATTCTCACATTGTAATTCATCTGTAAACAGCACCATAGTTACCACCAGTGTGGCAATGTCATCAACCACTGCTGGAAATACATCAGGGAGCTGCAGAAATCTATCAGATCGCAGGAGTCGGCACTCAGAAAACGTAATTATGCCTGTTTGCCCTGGAGCTGCCATATGCAAAGGAGACTTCTTACCTGTACGCACTTCAGCTACATGGCAGACTGACTTACTAACAACTGCATGGCAGACAAGCCGTAGTGGGAGAGTAGAGGACCTGCAAAAAATGTGGACTGTCAAACAGAAGGAAGTGAACAATCATTGTGAACATGAAAACAAAGAAGTCCCTTCTCACTCTCCAATTTCTCAAGATAGCTTTAATTCAAGTTTTAGCTTCATACAGCTCTCCCTGAACTCAAGTGATGAAAGAAATACCACTGAAAGCCAGTCAGATGGCAGGGGAGCTGAATGTGTTCTACAAACAAATGTAATAGGAAAAATGGAAAAAGTGAATTTGGGCGAACTGGGAGAGAGAGGAAGAAGCTCTCATAAGGACCTGGGGGCTTCATCTTGCCTGTGTAGGCATAGTGAGGATTATAAGTATGCAAGAGAGACCATTTGGAAAGATAAACTGCAGGATTGTGAAACCGTATCTCTTTCGGATACAGATGCAACGTTTTCATGTTCCACAGATTCTTCAGATGCAGCATCTGCTGGTTCTTCTGTTACCTCAGGCTACGAAAGTAGCTTTACTATTAGTGATCACAACTGGGACACCCTGTTGAGGAAATATGAGCCTGTGCTCCTGGACTGCTTACTTGGCAACCGTAGTACATTAAAGGTTGGTAATCATGTTCCCTGTTCATGTTCATTTGGTAGTAAGAATTTTTAGACCAATCAATCTGTGGACAGCTGCTGGAGACGGGAAATGACAGACTGCTGGGGCATTTCTATCTAGAGATTTGCAGCAACGTGGTGCATGGTTAAAAGAGGAGGAACCACGACAGTATGTTTGTTTCCTCAATTTTCTTTTAAAAATACAGCTGGCTTTTTTTTAGCCACTGTTGTAATGGCCAGTATTACAGTTTCAGTAGTTTTCAGTGATCTTCATTTCCTTTTCTAACAGATTCTGCACCAACTTGATTTCTGAATTAAACAGCTGCTACCTCCCTCCAGAGGTGGCTGTATATTAGTGATTGATTGACTTGTCTATATGTGTGGAGGGTTGGGGGAAGTAGAGCTGACTGGAAATGTTCCTGTGAAATTTGCTCTCACTCAACTGCAGTAATATGTCAAAAATGCCACTTTTCTCAGGAACTGCTGACAAACTTTCTTCTGAGAGGGGATTTCTCAGTCCTAGATGGAAGTTTTGGTCAACATGAAATGGACCCAATCCAGAATAGCCAGTAGTCTAGTAATTAGGCACTTGCCATGGATGTGAGAGACTCAGGTTCAAATGATTATTCAGGACCAGGGACCTGAACTTCCATGTACTCCATTTTGAGAGGGGTGCTCAATACAGTTGATTAGAGAGTCCTGTCCATGGAGGAACCTCAGAAGGTCTCAGTTTTTCTCTCAGAACAGAATGGGAAATGTTTTGAAATCCTTCACAGTTTTGCAGGATTGGAAAATTGTTTTTTGCTCATCTGTATTGTAAGGCCAGATTCTGGTTCGGGCTGTGTAAATGAACAGCAATAGTTCAGAGCAAGGGCTTGCCAGCCAAATCTGGCCAGCGAACTTGATTCTTTTGCAGCCTTGGGTGTTGGGGGGCTTTGGTGTTGGGAGCTTTCCCCATGTTGCCTCTGGGAGAAACGGTGGTGTTATTGGCTGTGTCTTAGTGCCTGACTGTGCATTTGCCTCTGAACCCAGCTGGGTCAGGCCAAGCACTGGTCTAGAGTCCAACATTGGGGTAACTGTTGTCCTGATTTTGAAGCCTTTCTAGACCTACACAAACCTTGTTGCTGATCTTCCCTATCCAGGACTCTGGAGGGGTATTCTGAAGAAGGACTCGGAGGTGAAATGGCACGGTCAGCTCAATTTAGTACATTGGAATAGACATAGTCTGACTAGTTGTTTCTGGCAGGGGGTTGCTTGTGCAGTTGAGGACAGGGAGGAACAAGCTTTTTGCTAATACTACTTATGCAGATGTCATCATATGTGTTCACTAGGGGAAATGACCTTCTCTCACTCCTGAAACAATAGTGTGGCCATAAGCTTTAGTATTTTGGGAAACAAGTGCTATGTTAATATACATTAGTGCTGTGTTAATATAAATTAATAGCAAGCGTAATCAACATTTAAAATGGTCTGCTTTCCTTGCAATAGGCCCTTTTAATGGCAACATTTGCTTGTCTTGTGCTGTAGATCAGAGGTGTTCAACCGTCAGCCTGTGGGCCAAATCTGGTACATGGGGCTTTTCATGGCTCCAGAAATTTGGCAGCAAGAAGGTGGTGGCACCACTCCCCCACTGCCAGATTTCTGGACCAATGGAGATCCCAGGGCCCTGTGTGCTGGATCATGTGCCAGCAGGGCCCAATCCTTGAATTCAGGGGGCTGGGAGGGGCTGGTGCTGGGTCCCTGAGATCCAATTCTGGCACACTTGAGTGGGGGAGGGCAGTTTCAGGCTCCCAGGATCCAATTCTGGTGGGATGGGGTGCTGCTAGGCTCTTGGGCCCAATCCTGGCACGCATGGTGGTGCTAGGCTCCCAGGGACCAATCCCAGTGCGTGGGGGCAGCAGGGGGCAATGTCAGGCCTGAGGGCCTGATCCTGGCTTGCTGGGCTCAATCTGTCCCGCAGATCAGCCTCACCCCACTTATCCGGCTGCAGCTGCCTTTAGGCTGTGGGGGCTAAAGGTTGAGCACCACTGCTCTAGATGCATGTTTAAAGTTACTCTGTTCATTTAGTAAAGAAATAATCATTTTTATCCCAAATGCATCTTTCTTTGAACCTTTATTTTAATGATTTTACTTGTTGAGCCTTAGAATCTTAATGTTAATGAGTCTGTTTTGGAGAAAAAAACTGTAGAAGAAGTTTCTGTTAAGGGAACAAAATTTGACATTACTAAAAATGCTAACAGTAAATTTTTCCTTTTTGAAAATAATTCTTCTTGTACAGATGAAGATTTCATCAGTTGAAATGCACAGTATTTTTGATAATTCCTTTCTAATTTTTTCAGATTTAAGATGCTGTGCAACAGTAATGTTGGTAGGTTAGCTGTGAGACACCGTATGTTATAGACTTCATCCTATCAAAGACAGTGCACTTAGAAAATGACACAGTTTTATTTCTCAGATATTGATTAGTAATGTACAATACTAGCAGGTACAATGGAAACAACTATATTAAATACCCCTCCATGAAAAAGGCCCCCAAAATAACCGCCCCCCCAAACAAACCCAACCCCTTGCCCCTGAACCCAAATCCAAGTCCAAACCCTCAGTACTGCAGTTTTCTGTTTGTGGTGTCATATCTTTTTCACATCCTGAGTTAGGCAGTGGCAACTCTTCAGACAGCCTGCCTCTCCAACAACATGCATTCTTCCCCAGCCTTAAAAAGGAAAAAGTCAAGTTGGCCCAGGTGGGTTCTCTGTCAATGGAGGAATTCTTGGTGGAGGAGTTCTGCGGGACCTGTTTTCTGTTCTTTATTTTGGATGGTGTCAGATGATGGCTACTTAACAAAAAGGCGAAACTTTAGTCTGTACATTGATCTGTTTCTGGCTTGATCCTTGTAATGGTCTGTTCACTGATCTACTTTCATCTACCATATTTAGGTTGCATGCTAGCCAGAATCTGGTAGCCCATGTGAGTTTTTGTTTGAATGTGGCTTTCTAATGTTTCTCATTAGCTACCCCATTTCTATGTATGTGTTACCCTAGTAGTTAAGGACTTCCACTTGGGGCATAGTTTTATTTGAGAAGTCTTATTCTATTGCTGCTGCTGGGCTGGGGCCAGTGCCAATGCTACAGCCTGGACAGAGCACCTGTTAAGTGACAGCAGGTATGGTGGGAGGTGTGGGGCAGAGGCTGCAGGAGGTAAGACAAGGGAAAGAGGTAGGGCCTGAGGCTGGGGGGGCAGAGACTATGATGTTGCGGGGAGAGGTGGGAGGCAGGCAGCAGCTGCAGCTGTTTA